CTGGCCCAGTTGGGGGGCGCGGCGGGCCGTGCCTGATGCTCCTTGGGGGCCTCTCAGTGCCCGGGTCAGTCGCGGGGGATGGGTGGATGGCGGGAGGGGGGCGTTGTTCCGCTGGGCAGGGCGGGGCGCTGCCCGCTCCCCGGGGCTGGGAGGCCGCGGCCCAGGGGCGGGGGCGGCCGATGCGGAAGTGCCTGCGAGCGGCGGCCGGGCCGGAGGCGCAGCTCCGAGGGCGCTGCTCGGCCCCGCCGCGCGGCCGGTGCTCCGGGGCGCAGCCACGCGAGCGCACCGCCACCAGGTAGGTCCCGGCCGCCCCCGGTGGACACCTGCCCGCGGCGGACGGTGGGGGACGGGAGCGGGGGCATCGCGCTTCGACGGACGCCGCGGCTCGGGGGTGGGGGGGGGGGGCGCCGAGCGCAGGGGGCCACCTCGGTGGAGTGCCCGCCCGGTGGACGAGCGCACGGTGCCCCGCGTGGGCAGCCAGATACTCGGGGAGTTGGGAGACGCGCTGCCAGGGCACCCGGTTCTGCCGCTTGCCACCACCCTCCCGGGTGGCTGGTGCCGCAGATGGGGCGCATCCAGGCGCCCAGGGGCGGAGGGTTCCCGAGGGGTGCGTCCTGCCTCGCTTTCCCGGGTGACCCTGCACCCTCACTCTGCCGCCCCAAGAGGAAGAAGTCGGACGGTTGTCCCGGGATCTGGAGGCCCACGGCAGCGGTTGGCGCAGGGGGTGTGGGGCGCCGTCCCGGCTCGCCGCTTGCCTAGCGGCGCTGAGCCGCGGGGCGCACGGCTCGGGGCACGGGGGTTCGTCCACGTTCTGGTCTCGAACTCGGAAGCGGCTCGAGTGGGGAAAGCGAAGCTGCGGGAGCCACGCGGTGGGATGCCAGGGAGGAGGCGGCCGCGGCCCGCGCGCAGGGCTCCCAGCGGCCCCGAGCGGCCGGTGCGGGCACCCCGGGGCGGGCGCGGACGCGGGCGCGGGGGCGGCGGGGACTTTCCTGGTCCTGGCGCCACCTGAGGCACCGCAGGGCGGGACGGAGGGCGGAGACGCCGAGGGGCTGACCAGAGCCTGCGCCTGGGGGCAACCTGTCGGGGCCTGACCACGACTCGGAAGGACCCAGGAGCCGAGGCTGGGAGCCGAGAAGGAGCGCTCTGCTCTGCACGCGGCGGCGTTGAGAAAACTCTTTCTTCTTCGTTTTTTCTTTTTCTTTTTTTTTGGGGGGGGGGGGGGACGGGTAGGAGGGTTGGCACACCGGAGGTGCTCAGGGATTTACTCCTGGTTCTGCAATCAGCAATCACACCTGGCTGTGCTGGCGGGCCGCGGGGATGGAGGGGCGAGCGTGACGCGGGTGACTGAACCCGGGGCTGCTGCGTGCAAGGCTGGCGAGCACCCTAGCCGCTGTCCTCTCTGTCCAGTCCGCTCTTACTGAAGCAAAGGTACTTCCCAGCCACTTGGCCCCTGGGCCTCACCCCTACCCTACCCTAGGGCGGAAGCCGAGATTAACACCCTCCAGCCCCCCAAGCCCCTGCTGGTCCAGTCACCGGGAACCCCATGCCCTCTTCTTGAGCTTGGAGTTTGGGGGAGATTTGTACAGCAGACAAACTCTGAAGACAGCAAAGGCTTGACTCCTCGGCGCAGTGGGGTGCAGTGGCGCTTCCTTTCCTGGGGTCCCCCACTCTGCAGCTGGCTGGCTGTTGGGACTTCAGCAGAGTTGGGGAGGTGGGGGGCTCCCTGCCCCAGCCGGGACTCCAAACCCCTTCCTCCTTTTCAGAATTCACCTACTGGGATCTCCAGCCATGCACTCCTTCTTTCCAAGGCAGACGCTAAGGTGAACCCCTCCAACTCCTTCAGCTCCAGGGAGGTGCTTTAGAAATTTTACCCCACGGCTCCAGCCCCCTGGGAAAGCAGACCTGTTCACGTGCCCAGAAGTGAGTGGGGCAGCCCCTTAGCCAGACTGCACCCGTGAGAAATCAGGTCCTAATATAAAAATAAATGTATACATTTTTTTTACAAAGGGGGCTGGATGTAGTCAGCCATAGAGCACCTGCTTTGCACGTGTGAGACCTGAGATTCTGCCTGTGCTGAAAAAAAAAAGAAGAAAAGGAAAGAAATCAGATTCTTTCAGTGGCCAGGAGGACAGCGACTCAGAGGCTGTGCTTATGCTGCTGGTGTCTCTGGGAATCTGTGACTTTCCTTTCTTCATTTCTTCGTTTGTTTGGGGGGTGGGTGCATACCGAGTGATGCTCAGGAATTACTCCTGGTGGTGCTCGGGGGACCAGATTGAACCTGGGTTGGCCAAAGTACAAGACAAGAGCCCAATCTGCTGTGCCATCACTCTGGCCCCCTGTGACTTGCTTTCTGGACAGGAGGTTGGGGTGCACTGCAGTGAACCTCAGTACTGGCCATCAGGCTGGTCCGAGTCAGAGGGCAGGAGGACGCCTTGGGCATGAGCAGACACCTGGAGGCCACGGCTGGGGGCTGCAGATGGCCCCTCACCCGTCCCCTAGGCTGGGGACCCTGTGTGGGTGGTGAGCAGCAGTGGGGACCAGGCCGAGGCACCCCTGATGTCCTTCTTGCCTTGGACACAGGTCAACTCTGCGTGACACAGCTGAGGGCAGGCTCCTGGTATGTGTGTGGGTCCTGATACTCGCCTTCCCCTTCACCTCAACGGAACTTGTCACTGTCCCCCTTATGGCGCCAGGATCTTCTGCCTGGTGACTGGGAGATGGTCCCCCGCTATTCTAGGACCACCTGTGGGGAAAAGGGGTACAGATACAAATACCCCAATTGAGGCTGCACTCAACTGTACAACCAGTACAATGCCCACAGGCTGGGGGGGGGGGGTGCCCGCTGAGGACTTGGTCTGGGGGACTCTGATGTGAATTTTCTCCTTGGACCTCCTGCCTCTGCTGGCAGTGACTCCAACTCCAAATGGCCTGGTCAAACCACTTTCATTTCCCCTGGAGCTGGGTGGAGGCAAGTGCGGAAAGGGGAACTGAACCTTTAGACTCCTGGGGACGGGGACCGTGGGGGAGGGGGCGGTGGCAGCGGGCGGGGATTCACCCCACCCCCACCCCCCACCCTGACTGGGCAGTGCTCTGCCACAGGCCTGCATTTGGAGACAGCTTTGCCATGAGAACACCACGCTCTGAGCTCACAACCCCAAAAGGTAGCAGGCTGGGCAGCGGAGATACAGTGCTTAAGGCCCCAGCAGACCAAGAATGACAGGGTCCAGGCCTGAGGTATCACCCCGGCCCACCCTCATCCCTAATTGGGGGTGGCCACAGAACTCCATAACCACAGGCAGCAGCTCTGCCACCGTGGGGTGGGGGTGGTTCTTAGCTGTTTGAAAGTTGGAACATGTGTGTGTGTGTGTGTGTGTGTGTGTGTGTGTGCGCGCGCACGCTCAAACTGCCAGGGATGGACCCCTGGGTTTCACACCTGTAAGGCAAGTGCTTTCTCTGCCACATCCCTGTCTCCATGATGAATCACACCCTGAGTCCGGGGATTAAGGTGCCTGACGGCACATGGTGACCCCTGTTCAACCCCTGGAGTCACATATGGCTCCCGAAGCACCACCAGGAGTAATCCCTGATCACGGAGCCAGCAGGAAGCCCTGAGCACTGACCACTGTGCTCCCCCCACTGACCATTGTGCCCCCCCCCACCCCAAAACCAAACCAAACCTTTGGGATTGTCACACAGTGGTTCCTCATATATTAAGATCTGTTCCATCCTACCACCCTGCCAAGTGTCACTTCACCCACCAGCTGTCCCCTCACTCCATCTCTGCTGGGCTACCTCCCTCCCCCCCCATAGGGTCCCACAGCCTCTTTCTGGAATCTACCATCACGGCTTTGCATCAGAGAGGGCTGGAGAGGGCAGGAAGTTGAGGGGACACAGCACTTTTCGAGGGAAAGTGGGGGCCACTGTCCCTATATCACCCCTGTCCCCAGGCAGCCTGGTGTCTAGGGATGCCCGCCTTCTCTCTGGGGCCCCCATCAGCCATCGCCCCCTCTGCATACAGTGGAAGATCTTGGAGGGGCTCCAGGTACAAGGAAGTGGAGGAACAGGGAGGTCTTTGGTGACCATGCATGGCTCTATACACACACACACACACACACACACACACACACACACACACAACACACACATGCATCTGCTCCCTCCGTGGCCAGGGAGCGGGCTGGTCTCATGCCATATCCATCCTTCCTCTGACCTCTGGTCTGGGGGGGGGTCTCCTTCCTTTCTGGGTCTAACCCCCCACCCCCACCCCGGCAGTTTAAGGCTGGAGAGAGCTGGCCCAGGAGAGACTGGGCAGCTGGAGGGGAGGCAGTGACCGTGACTGGAGTGGTTGCGTTCCCCCTGGGGAGTCCCGGAGCCTGGCCTCTGCAGCTCTGGGCTGGCACCAGGGAGTCTTACGGCGGGATGCCTGCTGGGTGGGCAGACCCAGGCTGGGAAATTAAGGCCTTCACAAGCCAGAGAAGCTGTGTGTCTGCATCTTGGTAGGGGATGGAATGGGGAAATCCCTTCCAAGTTCAGGAGGAATGGGGAGGGTGGAGGGTGCAAGGCTGAGGGTGGAGAAGCTCCGTCGCCTTCTGAGGAAGAATGCAAGTGCTGAGGGCTGCCAGGGGACCTCCTTGGTGTCCCTGTTCTAGGCCATCCTGGCAGGTGGGCAGGGAGGGGGCAGGGTCGGTTGCCCCTTCTTCAGCCTCTGCTCTGGACTCCGGCTATTTCAGCAAAGCCGGAGCCTTGTGACCCCAGCATGGAGGGTCTGACCTGGGCAGAGGCAGGAGAGGGCAGGGTCTGTGCATCTGTGCAGATGCCCTGCAGGCCGGCCAGCTTGCACCAGGACGCCGCAACCCCCTGCCGGCCACACTGCTGCTGGAGCAGCTCAGGCTGCGGGGATTGGGGGCCTCCGGGGCGCGGGAGGAGCCTGGGCGATGGTCTGGCTTCCTAGGGGCTCTGCCTGCTCCTAATGTTGCCCCCACCCTGCAGGTCCCTTGGCCATGAACCAGTCGGCCCTTGGGGCCCCCCCCGCCCCCCCGACGTGTACGGCTAAAGCCCTGGCTACTGGCCCAGGTGAACAGCTGCCAGTACCCGGGCCTCCAGTGGGTCAATGGGGAGAAGAAGTTCTTCTACATCCCCTGGCGCCATGCAACTCGGCATGGCCCCAGCCAGGATGGGGACAACACCATCTTTAAGGTAAGCCCAGGCAGGGGACTGCCTAGAGGAGGAGCCTCCACATCTCAGACTGAACATGGACCCCCTGTGACTCCTGTTCCTATGCCGGCCACCTGCCTTCCTCCCTCTCCCCTTCCCCTCCCTCCTCTTCTCCCTCCCTCCCTCCCTCCCTCCCTTCCTTCCTTCCTCCCTTCTTCCCTTCCACCCTTCCTCCCTTCCTTCCTCCCTTCCTCCCTTTCTTCCTCCCTTCCTCCCTTCCTCCCTTTCTTCCTCCCTCCCTCCCTCCCTCCCTCCCTCCCTCCCTCCCTCCCTCCCTTCCTCCCTTCTTCCATTCCCTCTCTCCCTCTCTCCCTCTCCTTCTTTCGTTCTTTCATTCTTTTGTTCTTTCTTTCCTCTGGGCACACCCGGCAGTGCTCAGGGCTTAGTCCCGGCTCTGAGCTCAGGGGTCACTCCTGGCAGGGCTCATGTGGGGGATCATGCAGGGTGCCAGGAATTAAATCTGGGTCAGGTGCATTCAAGACAAGCACCCTCCCCCCTGTACTATTGCTCCAGCCCCAAAGCTCTTGTTCTTGGGGGCTTGTGTATTTCTCTGCGTTGGAGTTGCCAACATATTATTGATTTTCCCTGTTTGTTTAATGATGGTACAATGAAATGAATGGATGAATGAATGAACAAATAAAGAAATGGTTGACATTGTTGGTTACACCTTCACTTTTTTTTGGCAAAAAATAAATTAATAAATAAAATTGGCAGGAAATCTGTGACATGTCCACAGTGAAATAATTGAATAAATAATTGAACCCCCAGTCAATACTAGAAGATAATTGCTCAAAACGTTTTTATTACATTTTCTGCTTTCTGCACATATGTGTATGAGAAATGCAAAACAGGATAAGCCTGTGTGTGGCTTTAGAGTCTGTGTTTTCTGCTCCTCAGTAGGACTCGCTCTCCTCTGCAGCCTAGGCCACGCACTTCCAGTAATCTCGAGAATGTTCCAGGAGAGGCTCAGTACAGTTTGGTCTCTTGGTCGCTTTCAGTGTTCAAGTGTTGATGACCTCATTGCCACAGACACTCCTGAACCTTTGCCCTTTACAGACTGGAAACAGTTTTCTTTGGGATCGGGTTGTTTTTTTTTTTGTTTGTTTTTGTACTTTTTGGGTCAGACCTGGCGATGCACAGGGGTTACTCCTGGCTCATGCACTCAGGAATTATCCCTGGCTGTGCCCAGGGGACCATATGGGATGCTGGGAATTGAACCCAGGTTGTCTGCGTGCAAGGCAAACGCCCTACCCGCTGTGCTATCACTTCAGCCCCTGGGATCGGTTCTTAGAATTGGACCTTGCTGGGTTAAAGAGAAGTCATTCATGTGCTGGTTCAGAGGGGTTAAGGGACGCTGGCCTTATACGTGGCTGACCCCGTTTGGACGGGGGGCACAGCCAGCAGTGTTCAGGGGCTGTACCCAGCTTGGTGCTTATATGGTGGGGTGAATGCTCTTGGCAGTTCCTGGGGAACTGTGGTACCATGAATCAAACTCATGTCTCCTGAGTGCAAAGCATGTGCTCAGCCCATTGATCATCTCTGTGACCATGTTTACAGTCTTTTGTTTGTTTGTTTGGTTTTGGGGCCACACCCGGTGTGCCCAGGGATTAGTCTGGAGATGCTCAAGGGACCGTATGGGATGCCAGGGATTGAACCGGAACTTGCATCCTGCAAGGCTCCAGCCCCTCCAAGGTTCTTTTTCAAATTTACTTTTTTGTTTGTAAGTGATCACATGATCACACAATCAATTTTTTTTTTATTATGAAACACCATGAGGTACAGTTGTAGACTTACAAACTTCTGTGCTTGGGTTTTCAGTTATACAATGATCGAGTACCCATCCCTCCACCAGTGCCCATTCTCCACCACCAGTGATCCCAGTAGCCCTCCCACCTCCCATTCCCCCCTGCCCCACCCCGCCTCTGTGGCAGGGCATTCCCTTTTGCTCACTCTTTCCTTCAGTGTCTTGTAGTTTGCAATAGAGGTATTGAGTGGCCATCGTGTTCGGTCTATAGTCTACTTTCAGCACACATCTCTCATCCTGAGCTAGTCCTCCAAATATCCTTTACTTGGTGTTCCCTTCTCTATCTGAGCTGCCTTTTCCCCCAGCATGTGCTGCCAGCTTCCAAGCCCTGGAGCAGACCTCCTGGTACTTATCTCAACTATTCTTGGGTGTTCGACTCCCATTCTGTTACTTGATATTCCCCAGATGAGTATAGTCTTTCTAAGTCTGTCCCTCTCTCATTTCACTTAGCATGATACTTTCCATGTAGAACCACTTGTATGTAAATTTCATGACTTCATTTTTTTCTAACAGCTGCATAGTATTCCATTGTGTAGCTGTACCAAAGTTTCTTTAACCAGTCAGTCATCTATTCTTGGGCACTCAGGTTTTTTCCAGATTTTGGCTATACACAATCAAAATTTTAATGTGCAAAAGTTTTTGTCTCCAGAAGTGGGGCTGGAATATTTTATGCATGAAACCCTACCAGTAACAGTTTTGTAAACCACAGTGCCTAAAATAAAAATGTTTTTTAAAGTTTTTTTGCCTCTGTCCCCATGTGCCACCCTCAACCCCCCCCCCCCCACCTCACCCCTGACAATCAGTCTGGGCAGTTTCTTATTTTCATTGCTAAGAGATTTTTGTGTATAAGCAAAGTCAGTAAGTCACCTCGTCACAGGTTCTTGGAAAATTTGACTTTCGGTGAAAAAAGTAGAATGAAACCAATCTGCTCATCTGCTCTCAGGCTCATTGCTATACATGAGAGCTAGTTCCTGTCCTCCAATTTGGGTCATAAAATATCCCCGTTCTTCTAAATATAGACCTGAAACACTTTTTTTTTTCTTTTTGGGTCACACCCGGTAATGCTCAGGGGTTACTCCTGGCTCTGCACTCAGGAATTACTTCTGGCGGTGCTCGGGGGACCATATGGGATGCTGGGAATTGAACCTGGGTCAGCCACGTGCAAGGCAAATGCCCTACCACTGTGCTATTGCTCCAGCCTCCTGAAACACTTCTGATATCAGGCATTTATTCCCTTCCACCCATTCAGTTTCCAGCCCATTTCTCAGGGTCCCAGGAGAAAGAGCCTCTCCTGGCGGCTCAGGGCACAAGGTCCCTCACACGCACCCCCACACCTCCCAATCCAGGACAGTGTAGACCCGCCACATGCACAACTTCGGGGGGTGGTGGGAAGCCGGAACAAACGTGGGTGGCACGGTCCACAGACAGAGGCCCTGGGTTTTCCTCTCTCGTTAGTATTGTAATCAAATGGCATCAAACTAAATGACATCAGGCTCTGCTGAGTCTCTGAGCCTCTGAGCCTTGCCTTCACTTTTCACAAAACCAGGAGTGTCTATATGTTTGCCTTTTTGGGTCACACTCAGCGATGCTCAGGGGTGACTCCTGGCTCTGTATTCAGAAATCACTCCTGGCGGTGTGCGGGAACCAGATGGGCTGCTGGGGATCAAACCCGGGTTGACCACATGCAAGCAAATGCCCCACCCACTGTACTATCTCTCTGGGCCCCTGGACATTTTCTTCTAAACTTCGTCTCGCTCGCTCTCTCTCTCTCTCTCTCTCTCTCTCTCTATCTCTCTCTCTCTCTCTCTCCCCACCCTGCAAGACCTGTCTATGAAGTGGTTTCTCCTTAATTTCCCAGCCATGAATAATGATCACAATTTAACTTGCCCCCCATTCGTACCAAATAGGTTCTTGTAGGCCTTTTTGCATTGCTTTTATAGGAGTCATTCCTGGTGGAGTGCAGCGGCCTAGGCTTGCTCCACTAGGTCAAACCTGACTGCGCTGGGGATTGAACTCAGGGCCTAGTACAAGCAAGGCCTGTGCCCATCTAGTGCCTGAGCTCTTGCCCAATTCCACAGGGCCTGTTTGGCATTTGCAGGAATGCGGGGACTTTTCTGTGGATGCTTTAAGGATCTGTAAGATACTGTCCTAGAAGTTGAAATTTCTGGGTTCGAAGTTTCCACCTAGTCTAAACACCTGGAATCCCACTCTCTCCAAATTGTCAATGATCCTCCTGAGAGCTAACGTGTGAGGGGCGCAGCATGGATACCAGTTCTGTTCAGAGAACAGGGGTTTTTAGGTTGTTTGTTTGCTTTTGTTTTTTTTGGGTCACACAGGGGTTACTAATTCCTGACTTTGAACTCAGGAATTACTCCTGGCAGTACTCACGGGACCATATGGGATGTTGGGAATTGAACTCGGGTCAGCTGCATGCAAGGCAAATGCCATACCTACTGTACCATGGCTCCAGCCCCCCGGAAAACAGGTTTTGGCTGGTCTGAGGCTCTACCACCCTGTGAGGTGGATTCTAAGATGCAGAGACCAAAGGCAAGTGAGCAAAGGGTTCCCTTGCCCACTCCCCCACATGCACACATGCACGGATACGCACATGCGCGCACACACACACACACACACACACGTATGCACTCATGCACACATACACACACACACACACACACACATAGCTACCTAGTGGCTGTGGATCCAACCCCCATGCTAGAACCTCCAGACGTCTGAGCTTGGACCCGTTTCCCTCGTCCAGAGGACAGGGTCTGGGCCTTCATCTGTGCCCTGCATTTCAGACGGGGTTCCCTGGCTTCCACCAGCCAGGAGGAGGTGAGACTTTGGGGAGGGCCCGGGTTCTCTGGGGCCACCTGTCTTCCCTTCCTGTCCCAGGCCTGGGCCCAGGAGACGGGGAAGTACACGGAGGGGGTGGACGAGGCGGACCCGGCCAAGTGGAAGGCCAACCTGCGCTGCGCCCTGAACAAGAGCCGAGACTTCCACCTCTTCTACGATGGGACCAAGGACATGCCGCCACAGCCCTACAAGATCTACGAGGTCTGCTCCAGTGACCCCATTTCCACAGGTACCACGCGGCCCTGGGTGGCCGTGGGAGGTGCCCCCTACAGCGCTCAGTGCTCATTGTCCTCCGCCCACCCTTGTTCTATTTCAGGGGGTATCTAGAGGACCTCTCCTGGTGTTTCTTTTTTCTTTTTTCTTTTTTTGGCTTTTCTTGGGGTCATACCCAGCGATGGTCAGGGGTTACTCCTGGCCCTGCACTCAGGAATTACTCCTGGTGGTGCTGGGGGGACTATATGGGATGTTGGGGGTTGAACCTGGGTTAGCCGCATGCAAGGCAAACGCCCTACCCGCTGTCCTATCGCTCCAGCCCATCTCCTGGTGTTTCTTGGCCAACCAGGTCAGACAGTGCAACGTTTGGGCTCCACAGTGTTGAAGAATCAACTTGGGCATCTATGTGAGCAAGACACATGTTCCAGCTCCTGAGCCCTCATTAACTTACTGATGATTTGGGGCGATGCTCAGGGGTTACTCCTCGCTCAGTGCTCAGGAGTCACTTCATTCCTGACCAGGCTCTGGGGACTGTATGGGATGCCAGGGATTGCACCCGGGCCAGCAGCATGCAAGACCAGTGCCTTTCCCACTGTCCTAGCTCTCCGCCCCCTCCTGCCCCCTCTTTAAAAAAATTCTTATAGGGGTCAGAGAGATAGTGAACAGGAGTGGGTTCGATCCCTGGCATCCGGTATGGCTCGCCAGGAGTAATTCCTGAGTGCAGAGCCAGGACTAAGCCCCGAGTGCTGCTGGGTGTGTCTTCAAAACCAAAAAGAAACAACATTTATGGGCCCACTCCTGGAGAGGCTCAGCTGGTGATGTGGGGCTGACAGTTCAGTGCTTGTGGCTGGGTGGTGCCGGCGATGCAGCTCAGGGCTCCAACCAGAGTGGACTGTGCTCGACAACCAGGCCCAGTCTCAGTCTTGACTCCAGGGAGCCCCGGGCCCTGGGAAATGGCCAGTTTGATGTGCAGGGTCCCAACTATGCTGAATGGCCCCACAGAATCCTTGTGTCATCCTTTTCTTTCCGGTGACACATTTCTGCTTTCTCCCTCGCTTGCCCTGCAGAGTCCCAGCCCAGTGAGGATTACACGTTCCCTGTGGGAGAGGAGGACGAGGAAGACGAGGAAGAGGTGAGTGAGTGGTGGCCATTCTTAGCGGCATCTGTCCGTGTATGTGGCCTTGTCTGGGCATTTTTGTGGCTTAGGATGGAGCAGTTGGTCCCTAGGGCCTCGGCGGCTCTTCCCTGCATTCCTCGGAGGCAAGAACCGAGCCTCACCCCAAGTCCCTGAGGCTCTGTTGGCCCAAAGTGTGCTCACACACTGTCTGAGCTCAGAGCAGCTGGGGTTAGTAGGTATTGCTGCCCACAGAAGTAGGGATCAGGGGCCAGAGTGATAACACAAGCGGGTAGGGCGTTTGCCTTGCACACGGCCGACCTGGATTCGATTCCCGGTATCCCATATGGTCCCCTGAGCACCGCCAGGAGTGATTCCTGAGTGCATGAGCCAGGAGTAACCCCTGTGCGTTGTCAGGTATAACCCAAAAAGCAAAAAAAAAGAAGTAGGGATCTGCACCCATCAAAGCCAGTATCAGTGCCAGCAGAAGTATCCGACAGCACCCCCAGGAGTGGATGTCAGCCTTCAGTGCGGTGGGTACCAGCCCCCCCACTGTGGTGGGTTCAAGACAAGCATCCTTCGGGCCGGGGGTCTGCTGCTGCAGGCTGGGGAGCGCCTGAGGTGCTGTGTGCTATGTCCTCAGCCTCAGCCCAGTGGCCTAACCCACTTCTCTCTTTGGCCTCTTTGTGTCTTCTCATCAGCTCCGGAGGATGTTACCAGGCCTGAGTCTCACAGGTAGGGCCACTGGGAGAGGTGTGGCGAAGAGCCCGGCAGAGGGGCAGGGGGCCTCGCTACCAGGTGGGCGGTGGGCGGTGGGCGGTGGGGACAGGTCCAGGGATGGGAGGCCATTCCACAGGTGCCTGACATGCTCCCACAGAAACGGCACCTTCCGCCCCCGCGATGGCCCCCTACTCTTTGCCCAAAGAGGACATCAAGTGGCCGCCCAGCCTCCAGCCGCCGGCGGTGCTGGGCACCCCTGCTGCAGACCCCAGCCTCCTGGTACCTGTGCCCGGCAATGCTGCTGACTTCGGGGACCTGGGGCCTGGGCCACTGGCCTCGACGCTGCCCTTGATGGGCGAAGAGCCGCTGCCCAACCTCCTCATCAACCCCCACATGCTGCCACGTAAGGCCCGGTGGCCTCTGGAGCAGAGTGGGCGAGGGTGGCCTGGGAAGGGGAAGGAAAGAAGAGAGAGAGATGCTTGTCCCTGTCCGTCTCGGGAGAGGCGGGTGGCGGGACAGAGACGGACCAGGGCTCACGGACCCGACGGGGCGGGGGCCCGGCCTTCTGTGTCCCGCAGTGACTGACCTGGAGATCAAGTTCCAGTACCGGGGCCGGCCGCCCCGCGCCCTGACCATCAGCAACCCCCACGGCTGCCGGCTCTTCTACAGCCAGCTGGAGGCCACCCAGGCGCAGGAGGAGCTCTTCGGGCCCGTGAGCCTGGAGCAGGTGCGCTTCCCCAGCCCCGAGGACATCCCCAGCGACAAGCAGCGCTTCTACACCAACCAGCTGCTGGACGTCCTGGACCGCGGCCTCATCCTGCAGCTCCTGGGCCAGGACCTGTACGCCGTGCGCCTGTGCCAGTGCAAGGTGTTCTGGAGCGGGCCCTGCGCCACCACCCAGGGCGCCCAGCCCAACCCCATCCAGCGCGAGGTCCAGACCAAGCTCTTCAGCCTGGAGCAGTTTCTCCATGGTGAGCCCCCCGCCCCCCCCTCCCCCCCCCCGCGGTCCAGGGCTGCATCTCTGTGGGCACTGATGGAGGTTCTGGTTTCGTTTGGGAGCCACACTTGACTATGCTTAGGGCCCACTCCCGGCTCCGTGGGATGCTGGAGACCAAACCCGGGTCAGCAGTGTGCAAGGCAAACAAATGCCCTACCTGCTGTACTGCAGAGCTCTGGGCCCTGATGGGGCTTCTTTTTTTCATTTTTTTTTTTTTTTGGTGGAGGGGGTCATACCTGGTGATGCACAGGGATTACTCCTGGCTCATGCTCTCAGATGGGATGCTGGGAATCAAACCTGGGTCGGCCGTGTGCAAGACAAACGCCCTACCCGCTGTGCTACCGCTCTAGCCCCCTCCCTCCCTCCCTCCCTCCCTCCTTTCCTTCCTCTCCCTTCCTTCCTTCCTTCCTCCTTCCTTCCTTTCTTCCTCCCTCCTTCCTTCCTTCCTTCCTCCCTCCTTCCTTCCTTCCTCCTTCCTCCCTCACTCCTTCCTTCCTTCCTTCCTCCCTCCTTCCTTCCTTCCTCCTTCCTCCCTCACTCCTTCCTTCCTTCCTTCCTTCCTCCTTCCTTCCTTCCTCCTTCCTCCCTTCCTTCCTTCCTTCCTCCTTCCTTCCTTTCTTCCTCCCTCCTTCCTTCCATCCTTCTTCCCTTCCTTCCTTCCTTCCTTCCTTCCTTCCTTCCTTCCTTCCTTCCTTCCTTCCTTCTCTTCCTTCCTCTTTCTTGCTTCTTTTTCTTTCCCTCCCTCCCTCCCTCCCTCCCTCCCTCCCTCCCTCTCTCTCTCTTTCTTTCTTTCTTTCTTTTTTTCTTTCTTTCTTTCTCTCTCTCTCCCTTCCTTCCTTCCTTCCTTCTTCCCTCCCTCCCTCCCTCCTTCCCTCCCTCCCTCCCTCCCTCCCTCCCTTCCTTCATTCCTCCCTCCCTCTCTCCCCTTCTCTCTCTCTCTTTCTTTCTTTCTTTCTTTCTTTCTTTCTTTCTTTCGCTCGTTCTTTCTCTTTTTCCTTTTTCTTTCTTCATTGTGAGATACACAGTTACAAAGCTGTTCATGATCTGGTTTCAGCCATACAGTGATCCAACACCCATTCCTCCACCAGTCTCACCAGCTATATCCCCAGTTTTCCTCCCGCCACTCCCCCAACCCCCACCCCATCCCCAGCCTGCCTCTATGGCTCTATGGCAGGCACACCTGGTCCACATCACTAACCCGGTGACTGGCAGAGTCACAAGGGTTACCGCGAATGAGTCAGGTCAGGAGTTACTCTTCGAGGACTCGAGCATGCCCAGGCAACAGGATACCCAAGTGTGACTCGAGTCTCGAGCTCAGGGGGGTTCTTTGTCTCGCTCCAGAGCTCATCTTGTTCCAGAAGGGCCAGACCCTGACCCCGCCCCCCTTTGAGATCTTCTTCTGCTTCGGGGAGGAGTGGCCGGACCGCAAACCGAGAGAGAAGAAGCTCATCACTGTGCAGGTAGGCCCCCGCCACGGGGTCAGGGGGAGACAGTGGGGTCTCCCATCCCTTGCCTGACCTTGTTTCCTTCTTCCTGTTCTCCTGGGTAGCCCGCTAGTCTTGTGCCGTTACCTTCCATTTATGGGATTTATTTTTTTACTTATTTATTTGCCTTTTGGGTCATACCTGGTGAGAGTTGGGGGTTACTCCTGGCTCTGCACTCAGGAATCACTCCTGGCGGTGCTCGGGAAACCGTGTGATATGCCCGGGATTGAACCCAGGTCGGCTGCATGCAAGGCAAACGCCCTCCCCACTGGGCTATTGCTTCAGCCCCCACTTATGTGATTTTTTTCCCCCTTGGATCCTGAGAAACGCCGAGCTAGACCTTGGCTTAGATGGAGACACAGGCCGCTGTGGGTGGGCCAGAGGCTACCAGGGGGCTGCCCATACTGTCCCCTACAGGGATGTCCCGCCAGGCCCTCTCTAGTCTGTCTCCCTCTCCCCCCAGGTGGTGCCCGTGGCTGCCCGGCTGCTGCTTGAGATGTTCTCGGGCGAGCTCTCCTGGTCCGCCGACAGCATCCGGCTCCAGATCTCACACCCCGACCTCAAGGACCGCATGGTGGAGCAGTTCAAGGAGCTGCACCACCTCTGGCAGGCCCAGCAGCGGACGCCGCCCGTGGCCCAGGCCCCTCCCGGGCTGCCCCTGGGCACGCACCCAGGGCCCTGGCCCCTGCACCCCGTGGGCATGCAGCAGTGAGGCTGCCGGGAGTGAGCGGCTGCGGCTCTCTGGAGGAACTGGACGGGGAGGTGCCACGGGCCGTGTGTGTACCTGGTGGACTAGCAGCTTTGCTCTGGGTCTCCTGGAAATGGACTTGGGCCAATTAGAAGGAAGAGCACTGAGGAAGAGGAAGCGAGAAGCCTCTCTGCTCGGGACGTTGTCTTCTGAGATCAGAGTCTCAGGCTCTGGGGGATTCAGTCCTCAGTGCCCAGGCGGGGAGAAAGCAAGACCCCCACCTCCTTCCAGCCGGCAGGGGCCCAGTGCGGGGCGATGGGGTCCCCCATTTTCTCTGGCAACAAGAGCCGAGTGCTGTGTGCAAGGTCCCTGGCGGCGTGGACCTCTGCAGGGCATGGATCTGATGTGGGGGTTCCCAGTTTGAACCTTGCGGCCTCATTGTTCTCCTGCCTGAACTAGAAATGAGCACTTGGGTCTGAAACACGGAGCGACCGGCAGCTACCTCCCTTCTCGGGCATCTGAGAAACTATGGCAGAAAACGATGTATTTTTGGATTAATAAATATTTGAAACAGACCCGGCTCTTTCTTGCCTGTTTCCTTCTTGTGCCAATTCCAGTTACTCCCAGGCATTTCTTTCTTTTTTTTTTTCTTTTTGGGTCACACCCGGCGATGCTCAGGCATTACTCCTGACTCTGTGCTCAGGAATTACTCCTGGAGGTGCTCAGGGGACCATATGGGATGCTGGGAATCATATCCGGGTTGGCCGCATGCAAGGCAAACGCCCTACCTGCTGTCCTATCGCTCCTCATGTCTGATGCCAGCTGGCTCTGTCCCCTGGGTCCTGTCCTACGTTATCTCTGGGGCCTGACCTCTGGGCAGAGGAGGCAGTGTGGCCTCGTGAACACTTAGCGGCTGGCTACACTTTCCAGTGCTGGCTGGAGGGAGGGTGTAGGTTTGAAGTGTGCAGCGTCTAGGGCCTGAGCGATAGTACAGTGGGTAGTGTATTTTTGCCTTGCACAGGGCCAACTCGGGTTCGATCCCTGACATCCCATATGGCCTCCTAAGCACTGCCGGGAGTTATTCCTGAGCACAGAGTCAGGAGTATCCTCTGAGCTGAACATTGCCAGGTGTGCCTCCCCTCCCCCCAGTAAAATAAGAATAAAATATGCAGAGTCTAGAATCCTTTTTCCCATAAGAAACGGCGGGAAGGGACCAGTGAGGTAGTACCGTGGATAAGCGACTACTTGTCTTGCATGAGGCCAACCTGGATTCGATCCCCAGCGCTATAAAAGCCCCCTGAGCACTGCCAGCCAGGAGTAAGCCCTGAGCACAGTTGGGCATGGCCCCAAATCCAAACACACGCATAAATAAATGGCAGAGAGCAGGGCTGGGGCGGCTCTAACCCCACAGCTCCTCTCACGTATATTCATTGTGGGGATCAGGGATTGGGCCGTACCTAGTGGCGCGATGGGGTCGTTCCCGAGTGACCACACTGTTTCTGGTGCTGTGTCTTCTGTAATGACTGCTGGTGGCACCTGAGGGACAAATGCTTGGGGATTGAACATTTACATCAAACACAAGAACATGCCAGGTGAGCTACAGGGAGAGAAAGCAGATCTGCGGCCATGTGGACTGGGTTTTGTGAGACTTTGGGCAGTGTTGTTGGCATCTACCAGAGGTGACGGCTAAACATGCTGTTTGTGTTTGAGGGTTTTTTTTTTTTTTTGCTTTTTGGGTCATACCTGACAACGAATAGGGGTTACTCCTGGCTCATGCACTCAGGAGTTACTCCTGGCGGTGCTCGGGGGGACCATATGGGATGTTGGGAATTGAACCCGGGTCAGCCGCATGCAAAGCAAACACCCTACCCACTCTGTTATTGCTCCAGCCCTGTGTTTGAGATTTTCAGTTTTAATTTTTGGTCATATCCAGCTGTGCTCAGGGGTAACTCTTGACTCTGCACTCAGGGATCACTCCTGGTGGAGCTCGGGGAATCATACGCTTTGCCCGGGACGGAACCTGGGTTAGGTACGTGCAAGGCAAGCACTGTAACCCCTGTCCTATCTCTCTGGCCCTTGAGCTCATTCATTTATTTTTAAAGAAAGAGTCTAATGGAGAGTATCATGCTGAGTGAAATGAGCCACAAGGAGAGAGACAAAGAATGATCGCACTCATCTGTGGGGTAGAAAAGAACATATGAGACGAATACCTATGGACAGTAGAAGCAAGGGCCAGGAGGACTGGTGCAGGAATGGACGCTAGTCACAGTGGAAAGGGTAGGGGGCAGATAGTTAGGATAGAGAAGTGACCACTGTGACAATGATAGTTGGAAATGATCACTCTGGACAAGACCTGAGAATAGGTAAAGGGATACACACACACACACACACACACACACACACAATAACCTGTCAGTACCTATATTGCAAACCACAATGCCCAGGAGGAAAGGGAGAGAGAAGGAAACTGTCTGCCATGGAGGCAAGCTGTGGGGGTGGTGGGACATTGGTGGTGGGAAATGTACATTGGTGAAGGGATGGGTACTGGAACATTATATGACTGACCCTCAATCATCCCCAAACAACTTTGTCACTGTGGATCTCAATGATGATCCTTTAAAAAAAAAAGGCAGAGTCTAGGGCTGGAGTGATAGCACAACGGGTAGGGCGTTTGCCTTGCATGCAGCCGACCCGGGTTCGATTCCCAGCATCCCATATGGTCCCCCGAGCACTGCCAGGAGTAATTCCTGAGTGCATGAGCCAGGAATAACCCCTGTGCATCACCGGGTGTGACCCCCCCCTCAAAAAAGAAAAGCAGAGTTTAAGGAAGATGTGACACAATCACTGAGCCCTGCAGTACCGGTACCGCAGGCCAGGCTCCGCCCCAGTGGCCACTGCTGGTAAGAGCTGCGGGTGTTCCTAGACAGGGTGAGTGAAGGGAGTGACGCCAGCCGGTCACTGCCACCAGGGAATGAAAACCCCCTGTCCAGTGGCCAGTTTCTTGCTAGAAGTTGGAAAGCAGATTGGTGGCATCTAATCTGAAGGTGCTGACATCTCCTTTCACTGGGTGGATGGAAGAGGCCCGTGGGGAGAAAAAAGGTGCTCACAGAGAGAAGAGTGGCCACAGGGGACACCAGGACAGGGCCTGCATGCTCCGCCCTCATCCTGTTTGGTAGGAGAGCGGGGGGCAGCACGCTGGGGTACGTGGGGACAAGGTGAAAAGGAACACAGTGCGGAACACAGCCTGGTTGCAGGCCCATAGCGGCTTGACCAGTCGCGGTCATAGCAGGGAGCCTGGGTGGGAGGTACCAGGCGACACATCATCTCTCCTCTTCCTTACCCAAACTTTGAGAAGCTTCCAGAGAAACCCCAAATAAGGAGCATTCTCAAGCCACCAAGGTCATCAAAACCAAGAAACTTCCCAGGGGAGAGGAGACTCAGAATAAGACATGGTGACAGAATATAACATGATGACAGGGATGGAAATTCTGGAACCAGAAAAGAGTATGGGATTAAACAGAACATAATCCCAACAAAGAAAGGAACTGTGTCTAGCATGTGTCCGGGCTACCTTATTAGTAGCTATGGGCAAAGCACCGTAGTCGATGTTGGCAGGGGAAACTGCAAGTGGGCAGACAGGGCCTCTTAATAACTTTGCTGTAAATCTTAGATTTGTAAACGTGTTTATATTGGAAACCCCCCAGGCCCGATAGCATAGCGGGTAGGGCGTTTGCCTTGCACGCAGCCAACATGGCTGATCCGAGTTCGATTCCTCCGCCCCTCTCGAAGAGCCCGGCAAGCTACCGAGAGTATCTCGCCCGCACGGCAGAGCCTGGCAAGCCACCCTTGACGTATTCGATATGCCGAACACAGTAACAACAAAGTCTCCAATGGAGACGTTACTGGGCCCGCTCGAGCAAATCAATGAACAACGGGAGGACTGTGACCATGACCGTTTATATTGGAAACATCTGCACAGGTACCTTAACCGACTGAGGATGCTCAGCATTGCCCACAAGAAATGGCAGTGAGACTCTCAGACTCCCCAGTCAGCTTGGCAAAAAAAAACTGGGAAGTTGGTGAGAATCAAGAAATGAGCACCCCCCCGCCCCGCCCCAGAGTTACCAGGGTTTTGCCACTATCTACCAAATCACACATTTACTCTTTGGACAAAAATTCTATTCATGGGATCCACCCAATGATAAATTAGAAAAAAATATGAAAAGACAAGGGTTGGAGAGATAGTCCAAGGGTAAGGCACTGGTCTTGCATGCGAACTCTTTGATCCCCAACACTGCATAAGGTCCCCCAAGGACCTCCAGGAGTGACACAGAGCCAAGATAGCTCCTGAACACTGCTAGGTGTGACTCCCCACCCCAACCCCCCAGGCTTTTATCCAAATAATTTATATTTTTACCACAGCATTATGTATGGCAACTGAACAACTAAAATGCCCACCATTAGGTAGTCAAAAATTTAAATCTATTCCAGCATCCAGAATCCACAATCTAGATCAAAGTACCAGTCCATAGGAAACAAAGAAAAAACACATTAACCGAGTCAGCCAGCTGCAAATGTAGAATGAAGCTTCTTACAAAGCTATATCCCAAGGACATAACAGTGTCTCTGCCTTCAAGTTTTTAACACTAGATACTGGATCATTTCTTTACATTATATGTGAATGATACTGAAATTTTGCTTTTTAGAATGACCTTGTTTTTTTTTAATGACATGAACTGGGCTGGAGCGATAGCACAGCGGTAGGGTATTTGCCTTGCGCGTAGCCAGCCTGGCCGAGCCGGGTTCAATTCCTCTGCCCCTCTCTGGAGAGCCCAGCAAGCTACCGAGAGTATCTCGCCTGCGTGGCAATGCCTGGCAAGCCACCCATGACATATTCAATATGCCAAACACAGTAAGAACAAGTCTCAAAATGGAGACATTACTGGGCTTGCTCGAGCAAACTGATGAACAACGGGAGGACCGTGACCGTGAACTGGGATATTTACACTTGATATATGTCCAGCATTTGCTTCAAAAGTATCTCAGGGTTGGGGTGCGGATGGAAGATTAGGCAAGAAAGAATGGCTGCAAATAGATTACCAGTGAAGCTCTTATTTGGAGATTTTACACCATTTTTTCGACTTCCACATGTGTTCAAAATCTTTCATAATAAAAAAATAGCAGCCAAGCCCAGGTCAGAAAAGAACCTTTATGAGCGAACAAACCATGAGCTGAAAGTGGCTTGTCCTGTTCTCATACTAAAGCACTCGAGGGGCCAGAGAAAGTCCAGGGGTTACAGCGCTAGCCTTGCACACACCTGACCCGGGTTTGATCCCTTGCAATTGGGATCCAACAGGATCCCATTGATTCTAAAAAAAGGGACAGTGAGCACCTTACAAAACCAACCTCAGAGGGGGTAGGAATTTCTGCCTTTGCTCAGGTACCTCATCCTGGCCTCAGTCATAAGAGCTCAGTGAGATTCTGAAAAAAAGAGCAAAGCGACAGCTGGGGTTTTCGTGATTTCAAGG